GCTGGAGGGGTGAAAGGAAAGTTGGAGGGGGAGAAGAGAGGGGGGGTGGGGGGGGGGGGGGGTGTGTTTTGGGTTTTTTTTTTTTTTTTTTTTTTTAAATCCTTTTTTTTTTTTATGCACAGTATATAAGTGATTGTATAAAATGAAAATGAAAATAAAATAAATAAAATGTATTATAAAAAAAAAACAAAAAAACAATCCGGGTCCTCATTTTACCCACCTAGGAAGGATGGAAGGCTGAGTCAACCCTGAGCCGGTGAGATTTGAACAGCCAAACTACAGAACTGCAGTCAGCTGAAGTAGCTTGCAGTGCTGCATTTAACCACTGCGCCACCTCGGCTGGGACTTCGCAACTAACAACAAAGATGTTCGTTAATGTTACACCCGCATTGCGTGGATAACGGGGGGCTGCCACCGAACCCCTCAATTCCTACCAGCTCTTAAGTCTTGGCTGACCTGGCATAACAGACTGGGGGCAGTGTGGCTTAGCATTCAGAAAGGAAACCCGAGGCCTGGCACAGCTGGGGAGTTAAAAAACAAGGGCACCCATGGTCCACTCTCTCTGCCCGAGGGGGGAGGGGCAGGGGCCCACTTCAGAAAGAGTTGAGCAGCGCCTGCCTTCAGTTATACTGTATAATCCTGGCTGCATTTAGTACGATCCCCAATTCAGCTCAGGATCCACCAGAACTTCTCCGACAGCCCGTTCCACGGGGCGGGAAACTCCTCCAGGCGTCCAGTCTGAATCCCCCGGTGGGAATGTGGCCTGACAAAGGAGCGGAGAAGAATCGCCGGAGACATGCCTTCGGGCGGGGAAGGGGCGCTCTCGACCCTGCTCCTTCTGCCGCCCCCGCCCCATTCTCCGAGCCCCGAGCCTCCAGGCCGGGCCCTCCGCCCATTTGCCTCCGCCTTTCCGGACTGGTGAACAGGACTTCGGCCCCGGCGGGCTCTGACCAGGCTTAAACCTCGCATCCTGCGCTCCCCGCAGCTCAGGCCGGAGGGGATCCCCGCGGAGGGCCAACCCCCCCTCCCTCCTTCCCTCCCACCCGGGGCGGAGGCTAGGAAGGCGCGCGGACGGCGGGGGGAAGCGGCAAGCGCCACCGGCGCCAGGGAGGCCCTCGTGGCCGCGCCCGGGAGGCGGTTCCCTGCCCGCCCCACCCCCTCCCTCCCGTGCTGCTTAGCGGCGCGGGAGGCGGGTTGGCGTTTAAATCCTGCCGGCCAATCGGCAGCGCGCTCGGCCGCCCGTAACGCTCCGGCTCCGGCTTCGAAGGCTCCGGCGGCGGCGCTGAGCGAAGGAGGCAGCGGGCGAGCGAGCGGGCGAGGGCGGCGTTGGTGTTGGCGGAGGCGGCGATGAGCGCGGCGATGCCCGGCAAGGGCTCCCGTCCGGCGGGACAACAGCAGCCGGCGGCGGCGTCTTCCTCCTCCTCGGGACCGGAGAGCCGGGCGGTGCCGGAGGTGCTGGTCGACCCGCGCAGCCGCCGCTCCTACAGCCTGGGCCGCTTCCTGGGCAAGGGCGGCTTCGCCAAGTGCTACGAGATCACGGAGGCGGAGAGCCGCGAGGCCTTCGCCTGCAAGGTGGTGCCCAAGACGCTGCTGCTGAAGGCGCCGCAGAAGGAGAAGATGACCATGGAGATCGCCATCCACCGCAGCCTCCAGCACAGCCACGTGGTGGCCTTCCAGGGCTTCTTCGAGGACAGCCACTTCGTCTTCGTGGTGCTCGAGCTCTGCCGGCGGCGGGTAGGCAGGGCGGGAGGCAGGCGGGTAGGGGCCAGGCATGCCCCCCCTCCCCCGCTGGCCGGAACTGCTCCTCGCCTGGCCCGCCGGTGGCCGGCGGGAAGGCGCGGCAACTCCCCCTCCCGTCCCCCCGACTCCCTTTGGCTCCAGGGGGGGTCAGGAAAGGAGGGGGGGCTCTTGAACGCGAGCGTTGCCGTCGAGAGTGGGTCCCTCCCGCCTTAGCCTGGAGCCTTTATGGCGCTCCGAGGGAAAAGCGGAGCTCCTCCTTGCCGCAACGGCTCGGCTCTGCCGTCGGGAGAGCTCTAAATGCTGCGGATCAGCAAAGGGAGAGAAGGAAGGCGGCGCTCGAAGAGACCCCCACGACTCTCCTACGGCTTCTCTTCCTCCCATCCATCTCCTCCCTGCCTCCCCTTGCCTGAAAGCAACTGGAGTGGGGGGGGGGGCTTTATGATGGCTTGGGCGGGTTCCCCCCTCCTTTTCCCATCCCTTCCCTCGCTCAGGTGACCTTTAGAAATGAAAGAAAAGCCCTTTATTATGGCCAAAGACCAGCAAAAGGAGGGTGGGCTACAAAGAGTTAAAGAAACATAAAAGATACATGAGACTTAAAATGTACATGCAAAAACCTAGAAATATTGAAACTGCGGGTAGAACTTGAACCGAGGGGTAGGAGCGCTATGTACTCTAGAGGGGGCTGGCAAGCCACATTGGGGGGGGGCTGCTGGGCACTCTGGAACTGGGGTGTCAAACACAATTTCATTAAGGGTCAAATCAAAGTTGTCTGACCTTGGGGGGGGGTCAGCGTCACTCAAGTTGGGGGTGACTGTGGAGGTCAAGCGCTCTGCCAGCAAAAACGGGCTCCCAAGCTCTGCTTTCAGCTGTGACAGCCTCCTGCAATGCTCTGCCAGCAAAAACGGAGCTCTGTTTTTTCTGGTCCAGGCACCGCAGGCCATTCCTTCACTATTTCCAGGGTGGCCCAGATCTAAGCACCCTGCGGGCTGCATCTGGCCCCTGGGCCTTGAGTTTGACACCCTGCTCTAGAATAGACCACTAGAACTGGTTTATGGCCCAGGACATCAGTTGAATGGGATGCCGCCTTGCTTGGCCCCTTTCTCATCCCAGGGCGTGGGGGTTGCATCCTACTTTGAGTGAGGACCCTTCATGAAGCGTGCCTATTGGCTAAAGTAGACATCTGTCAGTTGAGGAGCCTCCTGCACTGAGGTCTAGGAAGGGACATAAGGAGAGGGGGTCTTGTGGGAGGAGGGTTAGCGCACTGACCAGTGGCAAAAGGATCGGTCCTCCCGAAAACGTAATTGCTCCTTCTTTTCTTCTTCCAGCCATTCCCCTCTTGGGTGTCTTGCTCAGAGTTTGTGGATTGGGTTGTGGAGGCTGATCAGGATGAATCATCCCTTTCTCCCCCTCATATATATATATATATATATTGTCCATATATATATATACACACACACACAAACACACACACACACACAACATATACATACAACATATATATACAACATGTATACACATATATACATATACATACATACACATACATACATACATACATACATACATACATACATACATATATATATATATAGGGACAATGATGACAATTGATGCAGCTAATGGGCGAGGCCAGAGGGGGATCCCCAGAAGCCCAGAAGGTTCTTAATGGCCCCTGGTGGGATTAGGAGCTTTACGGAATGTGCCAGAAAGGGCTGAGTCATTGGACCCAACTCCCCGGGTGGCTTCCTCTCTTTCATGCCAGCAGTTGCTTGT